GTGCCCGAAGGGAGTAGTGCATAAACAAGAAAGTGATGGTAGGAAGGGACGGACGTCGGAAGAGCACTGAAATGTAAGCCCTCCCAGCAAGAAGTTATGAAGCATAACCATAAACCAGTGAAGCTGAATTTCAAGACACTACCAATGGGCAAAGTTGACGCCTAAAAGTGACAAAGTCTCCCACGCGAGGAACTGCCGCGTCGGAGTAAATTTCGTACGGCTCACTTAATACAAGGACAAAATTTTGATGAGCATAATTACTTTGTCGCGCCACGTTGACGACCCTTCCAATTATAAACTGACCCAATAAAATAACATCTTGAACAAAACGGATTAACCAATATTCAATATGTGATTCTGAAAAATAATTTCTTATCCTTATTCTATCATAATTACATTTTCCAAAACAGAAATATCCATAATTTACTGTTTGCTAAAATCACTATCTCATTAATAAAAAAAATCTATATAAAAAAAGTCACAAACAAAATCATAACAACTTCAGAATGGCTATTCCAAAAAATATTGGTCAATTGATTATTCCGGCAAAAACATAACTAATTCAGAAATACCTGTAAAGATAAAGAAAAGGATAACTACCTGCAATATTCAACTGTTACAACAAATGCAGCAACTTCGGAATTTATTATTTTGACAAAAACATTGGTAAACACAATAATTCCGAACTGAAGACAAAAACCAGTAAGAATTAATTGTAATATTTGGTAGTATTACAAATAAAGCAAGTTCAGAATTAATTATTACGATAAAGAAGATAATTAATAATTATTACGACATATCCAATTAAGAAATGATTAATATGACAAAGACAACAAAGGCACAGCTGCTAAGTAATAGACTTTTACAACAAATGCAGCAACTACAGAACTGATTATTACTATAAAGATAAAACTAATTCAGAAATAACCAGAATGCGCTATTTCATCATATACAGTATCTTCAGAATTGATTATTACGACAAAGCTATACAAATTAAAAACTGAATATTACAACAACAACTAAAACAACGAAGGAATGCTGCATAATTTATTAATACATTAACTTCCGAATCGATTATTACGACAAGCCATACTAATTCAAAACTGAATATTACAACAACAACTAAAACAACGAAGGAATACTGTATAATTTATTAATAGATTAACTTCCGAATTGATTATTACGACAAAGCCATACTAATTCAAAATTGAATATTACAACAACAACTAAAACAACGAAGGAATACTGTATAATTTATTGATAGATTAACTTCCGAATTGATTATTACGACAAAGCCATACTAATTCAATGAATATTACAACAACAACTAAAACAACGAAGGAATACTGTATAAATTATTAATACATCAACTTCCTAATTGATTATTACGACAAAGCCATACTAATTCAAAACTGAATATTACAACTAAAACAACGAAGGAATACTATATAATTTATTAATACATTAACTTCAGAATTGATTATTACGACAAATACTTAGTTTATAATTGACTATTTCATTTAATTTACAACTGAATTTTACGACAAAGAAAACGAACTAACAACCACTGTATAATTTACTATTACAAGAAATATAGCAGCTTCTACATTTATTGTTAGGATAAAGACTTGACTAATTCAGAAATGATTGTTGCAAAAAGAATCGCAGAAATAACTGCTATTACAAGAAATCACAGAAAACTTCAGAATTGATTTTTACGACAAAACTATAACTAATTTAGAACTAAATATTTCGACAAAGACAACTAAAAAATATACTACTATATAATTTATAATTATAACAAATACATTAACTTCTGAAATGATTATTATGACAAAAACATAAACAACTAATTCACAACCGAATATTACAAAAACAAGTAAGTATTATTTCTAGTATTTTACTAATTAAAAAAATACAACAATTAAATTTGATCATTTTAGAGAAATGTATCATAATTAGTTACAATTAATCCGTCACAGACTGTGACAACAGCACAATATCACAAAAACGACAAAAATATCAGGAGATGTACTACGACAAAGACTTCCGTTCACTATTAGGACAAAATCAAAAATTTACTATTACAACTATCATAAAACTTACTTCACTAATTTCGTGGTCCGCTTGACCAATTTATACATGACAATTAATTAAGGTTTTTAGTTGAGATGAAAAAAAGTTAATGGCACGAGAGGGATTCGAACCCACGACCTTCGGCTAGATACGCCGCTGCTCTACCACCTGAGCTATCGTGACCTCGATCCACTCGGACATCAACTCCCCATCTCAACCCCACTGAGAATCCAAACCGATTACACGACATTTGAAAAATGACAAAAGGAGGGAAACCTCATATGCGTATCTAGCCGAAGGTCGGGGGTTCGTATCCCTCTCTTGCCATTAACTTTTTTTCATCTCAAAGAAAAACCTTAATTAATTGTCATAAAACTTACTGTTACAATAAATACAACAACTTCTGAATCGATAATTAAACCAAAAGCATTAACTGTTCAGAAAGACCATTATGACAAAAAATGGATAAAAAAACTATTTATCATGTTGGCTTTAAAAATACAGTCAAATCAGCTTTGATTATGCAGGAAAATCATAAATACTTCAGAAACAAGAGATAATTGATAACCAAGTTTTGATTGACTGCTCAAAAAGAAAAAAAAACAGTAGTAGCAGGAGTTATATTACGACAAATGCACTACTTGTGTTGACTATTAGGACAAAGGCAAAAAGAAAAACTATAAAATTTACTGTTACAATAAATACAGTATTTTCAGTGATAGGGTAAAGAATAATTTCAAATGAGTACAAAAAAGAAGTGTAACTATGAAATGTGATAAAATGTCAAGAACAAATGAAATTATAATTTATGCAATATTTTGTTATTTTGTGTCTGAACATGACCTATATGTAATCAAAATCATGCGTATTGAAAAGCTAAGATGATGGATCTTAATTAAATGGGAATCACCAAACGCTGACACTTTACCGTTTTTGTCAAATATGTAGCCGAGAGATTGGCAGTATAGATCGCTTTTAACAGTGAGAAAAATTGTAAAAGTGCCATTGTTCAAGAAGGAATAAAATCAAGCAACCCCACTACTCTATTGCTAATTCCTTTTTAAAAGAGTGTAGAAACACAAGCAGACATATCTAAAAAATTTACTATTAGTGCAAAGATACAAATGATACTGTTCGTAGTGATGGAAAAACACAACTGACTCTTGCGAGAAAGGCTTACTAGCGGTGAATTGACTGTTCGTACAAAGACATCAATTTCATTGACTATTACGACAATGTCTACGAAAATGAAAAACCCAATTCAATTTGATTTAATAACTGGTTTAATTTTCGTTACTACAAAGCAATTACCATAACACTCTTTCAACAAAGAGTTTTTCTGTTTTTTTTCTTTCAACAAAGAGTATCTAAAATTGACTATTACGACAAATATACAAATGATACTGTTCGTAGTTATGGAAAAGCACAACTAACTATTGGGAGATTTACAGTGAATCGACTGTTCCTACGATGCCATCAATGTCATTGACTATTACGACAATGAGCAGGAAAATCAAAAACCCAACTCAATTTGATTTAATAACAGGTTTAATTGCCGTTACCACAAAGCCATTACCATAACACTTTTATTAACAAAGACCCATATCTACAAAATTGATTGTTCCTACAAAGACATAATTTCATTGACTATTACGACAATGACTAGGAAAATCTAAAACCCGACTCAATTTGATTTAATAACTGGTTAATTATCGTTAATACGAAGCAATTACTATAGCATCCTCATCTATAAAGACCGTATCTACAAAATTGACTATTACTTCAAAGATACAATGATACCGTTCGTAGTTATGGAAAACACAACTAACTGTTGGTAGAAAAGTTTACTACCAGTGAAACGACTGTTCCTACCAAGCCATCAATTTCATTGACTATTACGACAATGAGCAGGAAAATCAAAAACCAACTCAATTTGATTTAATAACAGGTTTAATTGCCGTTACCACAAAGCCATTACCATAACACTCTTATTAACAAAGACCCACATCTACAAAATTGACTGTTACTACAAAGACATAATTTCATTGACTAATACGACAATGACCACGAAAATCCATAACTCAACTCAATTTGAACATTGATAGAGACAATAAAAACACAATTGACTATTTCATAAAACATTTAATAATTTTCTTCAATTTTAATTTCTTTTTAAATAAACAAAGTATATATTTCAAAACCATGCCTATTGAAAAGGTAAGATGATGGACCTTAATTAAATAGGAATAACTAAACGTTGACACTTTTCCGTTTTTGTCAAATATACAGCCGAGAGGTTGCGCAATATAGATTGCTTTTAACAATGAGAAAAACTGAAAAATTGCCATTGTTCAAGAAGGAATGAAAGCAAGCAATACCACTCACTCTACTGCTAATTCCTGTTTAAAAGAGCTTTCCAGTTTGTGAAAGACGCTATGCAGAGCCGTGTTGCGGGGAGTTGATTTCAACGACCACCATCGATTTCCTCCGTTGGTAAAACTAGGCACAGGAACAATTTAATCTAGCTAAACGAAATTAAATTCGGATTTTAAATTGACAAAGTTTTTTTTCCTCAAGGGGAAAAAATCAAATAAATCAATTGAAACACGCCCCGTAGAGGAGGACTTAACAAAGTATTTTCTGCACGCGGAATTTCGTTTACTACTTGCGAGGGAAAGGGGGTTCAAGTGCTCTGGGTGGTCGGGTAAATGGAATTGAAGCCCCTTTTTCCACCCGCTCCGCAGTCCGGAGGCGTCGCGCTAAATTTTAATCGCACAAAGGAACCAAGACGTTGAATCAAACATCAGCAGTTATACAATTTCAAAAAGAATCCTTCAAGAATGAGAAATTATATTAAACTTAGGGTTTATTTGGCGTGTTTTGTTTTTTGTCAGAGATTAACCTAGATTCGAAGTTGCACTTACGGTCAGTGTGTCATCGAGGGTGTCATGCCATCTAGCAGATCTGTCGATGAGGGCGTTCCATTTTTCTGACAATTTATTCACTTCCCTTCTTATACAGCGTGTCAGCTCTCGAGCCTGCTGTTCAGCCGTCCTGTACCCACGTGAATCGTCACCACCTCCGACTGAAACAATAAAAATATTCAGAAATTAACGATGATTTATTAATAAAAAAAAGAACAATCGTTAAATTCTATAAACAAATAACTATAATAGAGTAAGTTTAGTGTGAAAATGTTTAATTACATTAAACTTTTTAAGCTGGTTCTTCTCCATTAAGAAGGTAAATATACTTTTATAGCAGGAGAACCACATGGGCCATTAGGTTTCAAGTGGTTCACTTTAAATGCTCTGCCTTAGATGTCCCAAGCAGGAACTTGAAGTAACAATGCAACCCCCTCTCGTACAATCTCTTTTCCATTATCCCGGACCACCAAAGAATCCAGATGTTCAATGTATTTCCAAGAAGACGAATGTCTCAATTCACCAGGCGAGGTTAATAAATACAAATAAAAACGCCGTGTATCAATTGAGAATGACGGGAAAGTGTGAGAGTTACTGGGCCGAAGTAATATTATATACTGGGCCTTTTAAGTTGCCTGTGTTAATACCACATACCCTGGACCTCTACAAATCACGACATATGTGTTCCTCAGGGGTCAACCCTAGGAACCCCAGAGCCAGAACTTCTCTTTAATAAACTGTCCAATATTCCCATTGTTATAAATCACCCTATAAATTTTAACGGCTTATAAATGCCGATTGCATTTCGCTAAGTTATACCCGACGTTTTCTAATTGATATATTAGCGGAATTGCCACGGTCTCGTGAAAAGGTGACCTGGAATTCGTTGTGTTAAAAGCTAACCGATGTACTGAAAATTAATCTGCCAACTTCCCATTTACCATGAAAGCCGACAAAATTGATCGACAAAAAGTAAACTATTTACCATTATTCAAACTTATTTATTATATTTATTTAATCAACATCAACCCTAGACATTATGAATATGCAGAAACGCGTGATTTCGATCGTTAATCATTTTAGTTGGTTTGCCCTGCCTATTGTTGAATATAATTAATTTAAAACTAATCACCTAACATTTATTATTACTAAAAAAATGAAACTGACAAAAGTTGACAGAAAAACACAATTGACGGTTTACAAAAACACCCATTTCATTGACTATTACAACAATGACCGCGAAAATCGCAAAAACCGTTGTCAATTTGACCATCCAAAGAGGCAAAAAACCACAATTGACTGTTACCTAAACGATTTAATACACCTTTTACATTGACTATTACGACAATGACCAAGAAAATAAAAAACAATATGAATATAGATAGAGCCAATGATAAACACAATTGACTATTTCATAAAAGATTTAATAACTGATTTAACTCTGTTACGAAGACAGAAATGATACTGTTCGTAAATGACAGAAAAACACACCTAAAACGCGACAATGGCTTACTACTGGAGAATTGACTGTTCCTACAAAGACATAATTTCATTGACTATTACGACAATGCCTAAGAAAATGCAAAACAGAACTCAATTTGATTTTATAACTTTTTATTGTGGTTACTGCAAAGCAAAGACTATATCTATATCTATGACCTATCTACAAAGACCCGTATCTATAAAATTGACTATTACTACAATAGTAATATAAAACTAATACTATAAAACAAATATAAAATTAATACTGTTCGTAGATGATAGAAAAATTCAACTGACTATTGACTTACTAAAGACTTACTACCGGCGAATTGACTGTTCCTGTAAATACATAATTACATTGACTATTACGACAATGTCCACGAAAATCCAATACTCAACTCAATTTCATAGAGACAATAAAAAACACAATTGACTATTTCATAAAGCATTTAATAACTAATTTAACTGTCTGTTTCTACAAAACCATTCCATAACACTCTTACCAACAAAAACCCATATCTACAAAGTTGACTATTACTACAAAGTACAAATTATACTGTTTGTAGTTGACAATAAAACACACGACTATTGCAACCAAGGTTGACTACCAGTGGAATCGACTGTTCCTACGAAGCCATCGAATTGCGAAAAAGTTTCATTGAGTATTACGACAATGGCTATGAAAATGAAAAACAACTAAATTTAATTTAATAACTGATGTAATTTTCGCTACTACAAAGCCAGAAACTTAACACTCTTACCAACAAAGACCCATATCTAAAACATTGACTATTACTACAAAGACACATATGGTACTGTTCGTAGATGACAGAAAAACACAGCTGACTATTGAGACAAAAGTTTACTACCGGTGAATTCCTACAAGACATAATTTCATTGATTATTACGACAATGACTACGGAAATCAAAAACCCAACTAAACTTGATCATTACTAAAAAAGATACTGTCAGAAGTCAATATGACAATTTTGACTAAGGTGAAAGATGACAAAGAATCGGTAAATTGTCTGTTACTATCCCAATTTTTTTTCGTAAAAAAGGCATATAATTAATACAAAATCACATGCTGCGTTAAAAACCTAACAGAATCTTGTATGAGTACTACACCAAAAGTATTAACAATCTTTGCATAGTGTTACTGCAAAGACAATGTACCCTACAAAGACATAACGATAGCTAAATTCGCTTTTATACAAAAATATTTTATATTGACTACAAATTAAACAAGGGACACCACAATAAAAAAACTTAACCTTTTCGTAATTTTGTTTGGTGTTTAGTGAGTGTTACGCAATGATTATTTGGAGATCGTGAGGTGCGATCTGGTGTGACGTAGATTTTAGAAAAACATTTCCTTTATCATGCCAACATTTCGATCTTTAGTGAAATCATCTTCAGGGCTCGCTTCAGTCGTGTTGAGAGTGTCTACGACTCACAAGAATGGCACATCTACACGGAAAACAAATACTTTGAGCCCTGAAGATGATTTCAATAAAGATCGAAACGTTGGCATGATAAAGGAAATGTTTTTCTAAAACCTATGTCACACCAGACCGCACCTCACGATCTCCAAATAATCTTTTCGTAATTGGTTATTTTTATAAATACAGCCAAAACTTTTATAATAATATAACGACAAAATTTTATCTCCCGATAAATCAATGAATTATGAAATTCACCGCCACATGGAGAGACCAAACTCTGAATAGGCCTTTAATCTAAAAGAAAACGACAAATTCAATTGAATTTAACTACGAAGGTCTCAGAAAACTTTTAAAGACAAGAAAATCCTAGTATTTTGACTATTCCGATAAAGAGCCAATAAAAAAGGCATAGCCAGTTGTAAGTGGATTATTTTAATAGTATAAATAAAATGGAACCAATAATAGCTAATTATATGTTTTTTGAGAGCAAGGAAATAGTCGAAAAGATATGGAAAATTGTTTTAGAATTTTTTATTTTCTAACGAGTAATGGGTTTTCATTGATTTCGTGATGATGATCATTAAAACAAGCATTCACCTATATGCGTTCGTCATTTTCTAGAACTTTGCCCCTGATTAATCCGGTCCGTTTAGTCTCGTTGTGTATTAACAGGTATTTTTACACTGGAAGTCAGAAATAGTCTTGTTTGCTGTCAGAAATTAGCCTGTGTGCTGCTTTTATCTTCCTTGGTGGAACGTCAAGACCCATGTATGAACTTAATATATTTCAATTGTTATATAAAATATACCTGTTTATCTCTTAAAATAAATATAATGATGCAGTGGAATAGTTTTATTTTGATTTTGAAGTTGAATTAGATTTTTCTCACCTTCGCTGTCGCTAGTGTCCGAAAGTGGAGGTTCGTTGGCGATGTACTGCCGTCCAGAAAGCAGGTTGCTCTCCACAACCGGCCTTTTGTCTTCCAGCTGCCGTCTGAACGCCCTGTGATCGTCCTGTCGTGAAGAAAAAAAAGAGACCAAACACGTCAGCACATCAGAAGTAAATAAGACCGGAAGAAAAGTGAATCTCAAAAAAAAAGTTTAAGTGAGTGATTTAACATTTAACCGCGGCAGAGAAACGGGCAACATTTAGGCCGGGATATATTTTAATAAAGGCCGCGGTTGACATTAAAGGGAGCTTAGTAACAGAGGGTGGTCGGGCAAAAAGATGTAAACTTATTATTGCACTTAAGTAAGAGTTACGAGATAGGTTTATCAGGGTATCTCGAATACGTTGCCTGAATTAGGGCACTTCTAGAGGAAAAAAAGTTTATAAAAGCAGCTTAAAGCCTTGGATTTAGTATAAAAGGGACTATTAAATTAAATCAAACTCACATTTCTTTTTCAAGCAACTTGAATGTGGGTTTTTTGAAAACAATTTTTATATATATATATAAGCCTCTTACTTGTTGTTTGATGAGAGAATTGGTGTCAGCTTGTATCGTAGTCAGACTTGACAGCTCTGTATCCTTCCTTATCACCCATTCGATCAGTTCTCTCAACGAGAGTAGAAGAGCGTTCCAATGTTCCGTATTGCTCTCCAGGCGGTTCCTTAAAAGAAAAACACATTATTTAAACTTTATTTGTAATTCCATTATATTTCATGGTCCGACTGGCCAAATAACTTCTTTCAATTAATTAATCTTTATGTAAGGTATTGGTTGAAATGAAAAAATCAGGCACGAGCGGGATTCGAACCTAGGACCTTCGGCTCAATACGCAGCTGCCATAGCACTTGAGCTATCGTGACATGGATCCACTCTGACATCAACATCCCGTCTCAACCTACCTTTCGAACCAGAACGGGAAGAATGGGCCAAAGGAACACTACTAAAGGCAAATTCCTACTGGTATACTGATGGCTCCAAAACCGACAAGGGTACGGGAGCTGAGGTCTTTGGAGTGAACCCAAAGACCGAACTGACGGTAAACCTAGGTAAGTTTTCCAGTCCGAAATCATAGAGGTTGAACCATGTGCCAGAGAAATAAAAAGGCTAGGAATACATTCCCGGAAGATAGACATTTTCTCTGATAGCCAGGCAGCTCTCAGGGCCTTAGCCTCATGTGAGGATAAGGCACAGAGTGTTTGAAAATGGAGGCGCTGACGGAAGTCAGCCGCACTAATGACCTGACCCTGGCATGGGTTCCTGGACATTCGGGTCATAGAGGCAATGAAAAGGTGGACATGTTGGCCAAAACGGGAGCCCACATGCACTCTATGGGCCGAGAACCCTACTGCGGTCTAGCAGCCTCCCACAAAAGAGGATACATCTTAAAACGGATCCTTAATGAGTCAAAAACCTGATGGAACATTACCGCAGGTATGAGGCGCGCGAAGAGATTCAAAGAAGGACCATCCGCAAAACTGACAAAAGAACTACTGGAAGGCAACCGCAACCGAACCAGGATTTTAGTTGGACTCCTGATGGGACAAAGGATTCCCACTCGGGGTCGCAATGTCATAATATAACATTGAGGTTCTTTAACGTGCGCACATAACCGATCAGGCCTTATCACACGTTTAGATTCTCAAGTTAGCAGCGACTCACCTCCGAGCGCGGAAAATCTACTTCTTTCGCGAGGTTCGGTGTAGAAGCCCACACATCCTACAGCAAACTGTCGACATGCCGACTTCTCCCGCTCGCCCCTTCCGAGGGGGTGGGTTAAGATTGTGCACTCAACCAGTGCCGCGAGTAATGGGTTACGAAAAAGTGGCCGATATGCCGGATAAGGCCGCGGTTTCGATTTTAGTGGAATCCTTAATCACCCCGTAGAGGTGTACCGTGCCTACGGTAAAGGACCCCAAGGGTCTCCACCGACAAGCACCCTCCCCCGTCCACCATTCCTCAGGCATTCGAGGGACGCCGGCAGCATAGTCATAACTCCTCGTTGGCTATACGCCCTCGGCAATCCGATCCGTCCGATTCCCACGAGGTCGGGAGGTAATTCGGAGGTCATGCGCAAGTACTACGGTCCACGGCCACGAATGAAACACAGCCTTTTCTCTAGGTACGCGCCGGGGGTCTCACCACTGAGCCACTGCGAGTCCTTACCCATGCAGCTGGGCTTGAACCTGGAACTAAAATACGCTGCCCCTTGCTAACGGGACACTGCCACTTAAGAAAGCACACGCACCGAATAGGAGTACAGACAGAAGAAACACTGTGCAGATACTGCCAGGAAGAGGAGACGACCGCAGAACACATTTTATGTTTCTGTGAAGGTCTAAGTAGGTGCAGGTTTTTGCAACTAGAAGAAGATAAACCACAAGTAAGATCCTACCCAAAGAACCGCTGGCGAAGCTGTGGAGGGTGGTTAATAACCTGACGCTGGTCAGTAAATTAACAGAGGAGCACAATAGAACTATTTAGGTCGAGGTGCAGTAGGCCTTGTGGACGCCTCTCTTATCCCTATCCCTAATTTTCGAAATTTCCCTCCTTTTTTCAAATGTCGTGCAATCAGGATACTATTTTCGCCGAAAAATGTATTTATTTATTTGTAATTGTTTTTTATTTGTAATTTATTTGTAAGCCGGTGGTACGTTGTTTCAGGGAGAATTCAATGGAAAATCCTACGAGATAATTACTGAAGGGATCCTTCTTAGAAAAAGCTCACCGTAGAACCTGATTACGGAGTAATTGAGGTCGGACTAAACCATGCGATTTTCGGTTTGTCCCCGTTTCACGTTTTGTTTCATTTTATTTGTTTATTGCTACTTTCTCTTGAAAAATTTAAAAAAAGACAACTTAGGTATTTGTACGAATACGATCAGTACGAACATAATAATATTGTTAGGATCCATTTTTTGATGGGTAATTTTCACAATCATACAAGACAAAAGGCGCAAATTATCAGCCAGATAATAATTAAAAACCTAATGGTTTAAATCGTGTAGAAATGAGTAAAACAAGCTAAAAAGAAATGCCATTTTCCTGTTTTATTATTGGTCGTATTTTTGATGGTCAAATTTGTAGGATCTATCTATTGAGCCTGGAATAAAACGTTCAAAACCCATGGAAAAATACACCAGTATATTCCAAGCAGAGGTTCATACAACTGAAAGATAATTTAAACTGAAAAAAGGTACAAAAAATAGAATATAGGTATCATATCGGCCAAGCAGCCATCAAAGCCCAAGTTCAAACTTCATTAGCTCAAAGATGGTGATGAAATGCAAGACCAAACTGAACAAATTAGGTATGCAAAAGTCAGCCTTTGCTGGGTCCCAGGACGTGTGGGAGTAGAAGGCAACGAGAAATTGGATGCCCTTGCAAGAAGAGGGGCTCCTATACCTCTGATAAGACCCGAGACCTTCTATAGAATAGGATTCCACACTATTAATGTGCACCTCAGACAGAAGGATAAAAAGAAACTGAAGGTACAATGGAACTCACTGAACACAAACAATCCAAGAACCTAACAAACCTTGTAAAGAAAGAGGTAACAGAATGTATTAAAAGAAGTAGGGAAAAATTGCGAATCCTAACACATTCTTAACAGGACACTGTAAACTAAATGGACATCTGAAGAAGATTGGCAATTGGCACAAAAATACAGAGACTTGCATGCATGTGCATAACGGGAGCAATGAGAACATGTCCCACAGTTATTATGGAAAAAGTACTGGGATTAATCCCCCTACACCACATGGTAATAAAGACCGCACAGAAAACTATCATTAATTTTACCAAAGAGAAACCTCCAACAGGAATAAAACTAAAATGGAGAGATAGCAACAAAATAATGAAAGACCATCCGATACTCATGGCTCCAAGAGACGTCATGAACTGTTTTTGTTTGAATTTAATCAAAACTTCCAAAAAATCTAGGTACCAAAAAATAATGGGAACGAGAGGGAAACACCTCTTTTAAGAATGGCACCATCCTTTGGTACACAGATGGATCTAGAATATAAGAAGGTTTAGGGGCAGGAGTATTCGGTCTTTGAACCAAATACTCAGAACGCATGGGAAAATGCACCAGTATCTTCCAAGCTGAGATTCACGCAATCGAGAGATGTACTAAACTCAACCGGAATAAAGGGTACAAAAACAAGAACATACCTATCATGTCTGATAGCCAAGCAGCCATCAAAGACCTAAGCTCAAATATCATTAGTTCCAAGATGGTGCTGAACTGCAAAACCAAATGAAACATATTAGGTACGCATAACAAGGTCAGCCTCTGCTGGGTCTAGTACACATGGGAGTAGAAGGCAACGAGCAGACACCCTCGCAAGGAAAGGAGCTGCTGCAGCGCTGATAGGACCCGAACCCTTCTGTGGCATAGGAACCCACACTATTAATTAGTATCTCAGACAGAAGGACAAAAAAGAAAATGAAGGAACAATGGAATTCACTCATTGGACACAGGTAATCCAAGAATCTCTTAACAAATTTCGGAAGAAAAGAAACTATCGAATGTGTCAAAGGAAGCAGGAATAAACTGCGAATCCTAATAGGATTCTTAACAGGACACTGCAAGCTAAATGGACACTTAAAGAAGCATAGGCAGAGGAGACACCAACACATCTACTAACAAACTGTGGTGCTACACTTGCCCGCAGGAAGAAGTGTTTAGGGTCATATAACCTAAACGAAGAAGTGATTCAACCTCTGAAGCCGGGCCTACTAATCAAGTTCCTTGATGAACTAGGACTTAACTGTGTGCTTTAAGCACAAAACGGGGATACAATTGCTTTTAAAGGCGCAGAATGATACGCACCCCGAGTAGTACATCTATCTTATCTTGAAGATCTAGAAAAAATAATTTAATGGTTTTTAGTTTTAATAATATCTAAGTATTTGTTAATAACAAATCACATTAGAAAACACGTGTAATAATTATAGAAGAAAATCTCACTAGAAATGATATGCTGATTAACCGCGTAATATTAGCTAATGGGAATCGAGTAATGGCCGTGGGGATAATTTCATATAACACCTCTTGAGCTGAGGGCAAATCCTTGTATTAGGGGGTGGATAAACTGGATAATATATGGTTATCCTTTGTTAAACTTAAAAACGATAAATTCCACACACGAAAAAAAAAAACAATTTCAAACAAGATCAAATTTTAGAGTGTGAAATATAAAAGATTTTCACTGTGATCCCAATTCCAATTGAAACGAAAGCGGGATGTTACGGACCGGACGATATATCAGCGACCAGGTGGGCCTAACTGGCCATAAGAAAGAAAAGCACTGAGTTAAGTTACTGAGACGAAAATTATTTTTAAAGTAGAACAACAAAGAACAATGGTTTTGGATTATAGAAAAGTTGTACAATTTCTAGGTGACTCTTTTTGATAAAAAAAATTGACAACCGAGCAGTAAAACCCCAACACTAAATAAAGTGTAATTTAGCAACTTACCTTGAACAAAACCAATATCAAATTTGAGTCTAAAATTTCTAGCATTGTATAAAGTCATTTTTTCACATTCTACATATTTGTATAATTTAAACCATGTTTTTAAATACCAGGCCCTGAAGATGATCTCAATAAAGATCGAAACTTTGGCACGATAAAGAAAATATTTTTCTAAAACCTGTCACACCAGATCGCATCTCACGATCTCCAAATAATCAAAAAATGATTATAAAATGAAGACAATATTGACGAGTTATTTACCCTTGGAAATAAATTTAGGAAAATAAACCTATTATCGAAATTTACTGTTAATCCAATAAGAAGACGATTTCCTTCCGTCGGCTTTAACCCAATAGAACCGAGGTATACCACGAACAGCCATTTTCGTACCCCGATTTAAATAATTAGAAATCAATAATTTCCGGTTTTGGACCGTTCGCTGGCGTAATAATACAATCGGAATTTTACGTATCATCAGGATTTTATGCCTGGGAAACTAGTTTGGTTTATATTCGAAAGGTTATCGATGCCTTGAAGGTACTGGGTTCAATTCCAGTAGTTTTCTTTAAAAAATTTCCAAGGCTATTTGTTGTGTCTAATTAACATGTACTAGTTTTATATGTTTCTCTTTTTCACCGTCCTTAGGTTGCTTATTTTTAGTTTAATTCAAAAGAGGATTTTCAAATTCGGGAAATGTTTCATTGCAGCCAGAGAGAGTCTGGGTCAGCAAAGATGGGAAGAGTAGTACAGATATAGAGCCAGTGACGTCACAATATCGATTCGGATTAATTATGAGGGAGGGTAGTACGGAGGGCGAGAGGTCAAAAGTTTCAACCTCACCTGATGGCCATGGACTTGTTCTTCAGGTGGTTCCACCTTTGGTTCATCTCGTCCAAACGCCTCTGGAGCATGACGGCGTCGTCCTGGGACGTCAAGCTGCCCAGGAGTTTTCTTCCGGTTCCATTGAGTGAGCTGAACACCTCTTTGTGGCTCTCGATCTCGCTCTGGACATCCTGGAACAACAAAAATATTTACAATAATATAAAATTTTTAACACAGTTACCTACTCTTCTCGTGTTTGGATTAATATCCAAAACGGCCCGGAATCGGAAACCACGAAAAACGCCCATTTTTATAATTTCAATATTTTCAAAAGTGACTAATAAAAATCTATCTAAAACGGAGGCTGAGTTGTGACTGGCATGAGACAAACTGAAATACCGTAGTGATAACCCCTGAGTTTATCTCCAGCCAGCATTATCCTATCGGAGTCTGTATTAATACTAATACGTTATCGTAAGACCAATTTATTAAAGAAATAAACAGTTGAATGAATCCAAGCCTTATAATAAAACACAAAAATGTACAAATGACGAAGAAAAAAGTACAAGCACCAAGCGCTACTAAGATGTTTATCTTTATATGAGACTACGTTTTATCTTTGATTTATTACTGTATCAAATCAAAGTCTGAGAAATATTCTTATCAAGAAAAGAAGTAGAAGTTTGATAGCGTAAATAAACTTTTATAACTATTTCACGTAACTCGTCATTTATTTTGTAATTATTCATAAAATGACGTTTCAAAACTGCCCAACCGACAATCCGGCGCATTTCAATGATTAAACAGGATTAGAAAGGCCGTGAGAGATTGGCCGGGTAACACTGTTAAGAATCCCTTGGGAGGAAACAAAGTAAATCGGATTTAATTGCACTCAGGACGAAATAATCCTTAATCTGTGAAGATGCAGGACGATCCGGAAGGATTCACTCGACCAACGTGACGGTCAGGATAAACGTACCATTTATTAAAGGAACGGAAGAAGGAAAAACCTTCATTGATTAAAAGTACTAGTTTCAGAATCTATAATGATTCCTAAAGGGATGCTTAAGTATTACTGGAAATAACTCAGACCTTCCCATTAGAAGGGGTTTCAATCTTGATCAAAGGCTCAAATGAGTTTTATACAATGGTAAACTATAATCTACGTGCATAAATTTTACAAAGGTTTTATAATAAGAAAGAAAACTTATTTTTTATTTTATGTTTATACATAAATTTAAACCGATAAGACTGACATTTTGTAGATTTATCGACCAACTTATGCATATAATGTTCTCTTGGTTGTCAAGGATATAGTAAAAAAAAAAATTTATTCTTCGTCTAGCATTCGGAACTTGATTGTACCTTCAGGGCTCTTAAAAATGATATATATCAGATTTTAATTTTGGCCAATTCAACATCAAATTAGAAACAAGAAAAAGACACATTTTTGTACTTACTGATTTTTGATCAGAAGTATATGAACATAAATTCTTTTATTTTCATGTTAACATTGAACTTTTCACTTTTTTCTTCACCTTTTCAACTAAGAAATGACGTCCAATTGACGAAATGATATGGCAAGGAAAGCAAATTTTGCTGAAGGTGGGCAGAAACGATTCATCCCCAAACGTGTCTAACTGACGTTTTCAACGAAATTTCATTAAGATAGTAATTTTCTAAGACACATTTAGTAAAATGATATGGCGGCAAAATACTGGCACTGCACAGATACTAACATTTTTCCTCACCAACCAAATTCGACTGTACTGTAAAAATAGTTCTTTTAAGTTAAATTTGAATAATATTATTTGAATAGTTTGTGTATTCGACGATAAATGAGAGATAATATTTGGTGAGGCGGCAAAATTTGTTGGACTTACTGAAGCAATGCATCCCAGACCGGGTTGAACTGTCATTTCTTTCGGGCTGTGGTACATATTTTAATATTTAGTTAAAAGTTCTGCTAAAATCAAAATGCATTGCACCTTATTTGGTGTTGCGGCAAAATTGTTGGACTTACTGAAGCAATGCATCCCAAACCGTGTTGAACTGTCATTTCTTTCGGGGTGTGCTACATATTTTAATATTTAGTTGAAAGTTCTGTCTAAGTGGCAGTGCATTGCACCATATTTGCTGTGGCGGCAAAATTGTTGGACTTACTGAAGCAATGCATCCCTGACCGAGTTGAATTATCATTTCTTTTTCGTTGTAGTAAATGTTTTAATATTTAGTTGAAAGTTCTGCCTAAATGGCAATGCATTGTACCATATTTGCTGTGGCGGCAAAATTGTTGGACTTACTGAAGCAATGCATCCCAGACCGTGTTGAACTGTCATTTCTTTCGGGCTGTGGTACGTATTTTAATATTTGGATGAAAGTTCTGTCTAAATAGCAATGCATTGCACCATAATTGCTGAGGCGGCAAAATTGTTGGACTTACTGAAGCAATACACCCAGACCGTGTTGAACTGTCATTTTTTCGGGCTGTAGTACATATTTTAATATTTAGTTGAAAGTTCTGTCTAAATGACAATGTATTGCACCATATTTGCTGTGGCGGCAAAATTGTTGGACTTACTGAAGCAATACATCCCAGACCGTGTTGAACTGTCATTTCTCTCGGGCTGTGGTACGTATTTTAATATTTAGTTAAAAGTTCTGCTTAAATGAAAATGCATTGCACCTTATTTGGTGTGGCGGCAAAATTGTTGGACTTACTGAAGCAATGCATCCCTGACCGAGTTGAATTATCATTTCTTTCGGGCTGTGGTACGTATTTTAATATTCAGTTAAAAGTTCTGTCCAAATGAAAATGCATTGCACCTTATTTGGTGTGGCGGCAAAATTTGTTTCACATGTACTGAAATCTTACTCCACCAACCAAATTCGATTGCACTGTAAATATTGTTGTGTAATATTATTTGATTAATTGTGTTTCTGATGATAAAATAAATTCATCATTTTTGGTTGGGCGGCAAAATTTGCTTCGCTAAGATTAAAACTACGTCCCACCTTCATATTAGACGGTATAGTAAAAACGGTTTTGCAATATTTGAACGCTTGCGGTTTCCATGATGCATGCAAGTTTATGATTTACTGACGCGGCAAAATTTGCTGCGTCAAGGCAGAAACGAACGCTCACCCATTATATTGGGCACTAGTGTAAATTCACTATATCCAAATTATAGATTTGTAATGTTGTTGATAAGACGTCTTTTCGATTATAAATGAACTCATCCTTTTCGATGAGACGGCAAAATTTGCTGCATTTAGATCGAAACGATTCTTCACCATCCGTAATTGACTGTTAATTCTAACGTATTTCTTTCAGATTGTACCATTATAATATTCAGAAAAATGGTTTATTTTTAATGAGAATTTCCCTAGGCGGCAAAATTTGCTGCACTTGATCTGAAACGAAAAATCTCCCACATTATACATACGATGTAAAGAGCTAGACAGCATTAACGCATAGATATCTGGAGTTTTGAATTTCTCTACCCAGACTTTACCAAACCATAAAGTTCCAGGGATGGAATCGTGCGAGTCTTGCAATTATCCAGGTTCTATCAGAATATTGAGTAGTGAGAGAAGTAAGGGAGGAAAAATCTTACCGATGGCGGTTTGAGGCGACAGCATGATAGCGTAATTTCCGCAGAAGTAGTCGCGGAGGATATTGAAAATGAACCGGATGAATGGAAAGAGGCCGGCGAAGCTCGGCGGACCAATAATCAACCGGGATACCATAGAGGGCGCAAAGGAAATTGAGTAATGCTATCTCGGACAAGTATCTGTCGGAGACTCCTCTTACGATTAAGTCCAAGTGAAGAGCGATAGCGATACGGTCAAGTTTCACAGCTTGTCGTCCCATGCAGACGTGACGAACGTCTCAAACGACCCAATTGGCTTCAAAACTGCAAAACTTTGCCCAATCTCAGTTTTAAAGATTTCACGTTCCAATTAATTGTACGACTTGGCCCAGGCGTCGTACGGGGTCGGAAAACCTCACCGTCGTTAAATCTTGTTACTGAACAGTTCCAATTCATTGGAAAATTATTTAAAATAAAATTGGATCGTTTCTGTACGGATTTATCAATGACCGTTTCCAAAAATATAGTTTCTACTTTACCTCAGCAGGGAATTCTACTCAAACTGAGCCCACAGATTTATCTTTCTCGTTGTTGTTTTGTGGGTTACGAACCATATTTTCTAAAATATTTAGATTAAGTTGTTATAAGAGGATGTGCATAACAATTTGCTGCACTAGGACTGAAGCTATAACCTGTAGCTCAATGAGATTGAGTTCTGAAGATAATGGAGGAAGACGAGATGGGCAATTCCCAAGTTTTCTAAACATTGGTGAACAACTCTGCCTCCATGAGGTCTGTCATTGTCATCCAGAAATCGAAAATTCCTGTCAATGAGATCCCTGGTTTGAGGGACGATTTCCTCGGTAATTTCTTGGGCATAACGGACTGCGGTCAGTTTGCCTCCAACAATAAGTCAAATTCGTCCACTAGTGTAAATCCCAGTCCAGACCATTACACCACACCACCTCCTCAAAACTGCACTAAAAGGAGCACGAACTGAGGCATTGTACGCATCCCCTGTTTTCGGTAGACTCTTCGGCGCCTTCTGTATTCTGTATAGTGATACAGACTTTGTTCAGACCGTAGTTTTGCAATATTACATATATATAATATTTGTGTTTTTAATTGTAAATGAACGAATCATATTTGACGAGACGGCAAAAGTAACGGTACTCCACCCACCAAGTTTAATTGTTATTTTGACCATTTAATCGTCTGATTGGGGAAGTCTTATAGTAGAGGAAAGCCGGTGTTATCGATGACAATAGGAAGCATCTTATTCAATGAAGCGGCAAAATTTGCCGCATCAAATCTGTAACGATACTGCACCAACTATGTTTAATGCTTATTTTCAACTTATATTTTATTGAATAATTCTTATATTAGAGGAAAGAAAGTGTTTTCAATGATAATACAAAACATCTTATGTGTACAGGCGGCAAAATTTTCTGCACCAAAATTGTAATGATACGTCACCAACTATATTTAATGCTTATTTTCAACATATACTCTTTTAATTGGAGAATTCTTATATTAAGAGAAACACAGTGTTTTCGTTGACAGCAGAATGCACCTTATTCAACGAAGCGGCAAAATTT